CAAGTCACAAGTAAACCAGTCCCAAGGCGAGCACAGCCCACCTCGGCTCGCCTCATTGTCGCCTCGTCTTGGCCCGGTTAGGTCTCGACTGCTCGAAAAAAAGGCTCAAGGTAACACAAAGAGTCATCATTAGGCCGCGGGCCTTTTCTACCGTTGATTGCCTTTTGAGCCATTTGTGTAAAAAAACTAGATTTTTCAAGTGATATTGGAGAGGGGAGAGGGGGGCTCGAGGGGGGTTGTTTACTGGGTCTGCCTTGTCGGTCTGCCTTGCGGCTGTCGGTTAGATGTATGGATGTATGGATACGTACCGATGTACATATGTACGTACATGTGTATGTCCAATGTGGGCTTTTCCCCCCGCATGCCGGGGCCTTGTGGTGGCAACGGTTTTTTTTTTGGTCTTTTTCGGATGTCGGAGGGGGCTCGGGCGGGTCGGAGTTATGCGGATGTATATTTGGCGGATGGAGATGGGGGGTTTGATAGAACTTAATGGGACATGGTGAGATGATTTGAGGTTTGTGTTGATGTGTGTGTTTTGTTGACTTGTTAATTGCGGGTTGTGGGGATGGGGATGAGGACTTGGTCGAGGTCCTTGTTATTGTCTATTTGTTTTAGGTATGTACCACCTGTATGTAGGCACTGAGGCCGTCAGGTTGGGTCTGAGGTATGGAGCCAGGCGGGGGAAAGTCTTGCTGGGAGTCATAGTATTGGAGTCCTACGGGTGTTACATGTGCGTGTACATCGGGTGAAAGGTGTTTAGGCAGGTGGTTTTCTCATGGGACCCTGTCGGGTACCGAACTTCGTTTACAGATGAGTTTCTGTGCGATGGTAGTTACTGTACATACATGTACCTAAACCTACGGACCAGGCCCGTGGTAGGTGGCCTTGCAGTCACAGGACGGTCGTGCAACAGATACTGCCCGTCCTACCGCCTTACTTTGTCCTTGTCATATCGTGCTTGAGAGAGAACGAAATGGCTAGACTCGACGGGGAAGTCCGGGCGGATACCTTTTGGTTGGTCGGGATCCTGCCTTGCTATCTAAGAGCTGGCCGTGTTGAGCAACTTTCATCAGGACTTGCTCATTGCTGCACAGTATCGGTGCCGAGGACTTGTTGAGAGACACCAAAACAGCCTCGTGCTTCGTTCGTTGTCCGCCTGATATCTGGCCGGACTAACCAACCGTTCACCCACGTGAAGACTAGCATGAAAATATGTCTCATGGTATATGAGTTATATACACACTATCGTTACACCCGGACAGCGAGGCGAGCCTTCATCGCCGTCGTGAGCATCTATGTCGCACGAAGGCGCCCTATTCCCCATACCCAGCGGCGTTATCCTCCGGGGCTATCGTCCCATCATGTAGGACTCTCAGCCGTCGGTCCTAGTTCCCGCCCTTTCCTGCCTCATGCTTTTGGTTGCTCGTCGTTACTCGTGCTTGCTGGCTCGGACCCGAGGGACAATTGCTCCACCGCTTTCTGCACCTCGCTCACATCATCCGATGCCGAAGACGGAGCAAGCGATGACCTCGACTGCTTGTTCTTCGCAATCACCTCGCCAATCTTGGCCAGCATCTCCTCCGACAGCACCGGCTGGCCACGCTGGCGACGAATCTCGCGCATCTTGCGGTTGTACTCCTGCACCGGCAGCAGCATCTCCTCGGCGCGGGCGCCCTTCCGACGGAGTTTCTTCTCCGCCTCCTGCGCCGCAATTTTGGCGACGTACTCCTCGGTGTGGCGGGTGCGGAATTTGGAGTAGCGGTTGCGCAGCTCGTCGAGGACGGACTCGGGCATGGGCGGGCGGAGTAGGGTCGGGATGAAGGTGCGCTCCTCGACGTCGATGCGGAGGGTGTCGACTGGGAAGTCTTGGCGGACGGCGGCCGGGACTTTGGGCCAGGGGATCCGCACGTTGAGGCCCGGGACGATGCGGGAGAAGAAGAATTTGCGTGATTGTCGGTCGTGTCGTATCGCTACGGGCTTGAGCTCGCGGATGATGACGTCGCGGATGGCGCCCGTTGCTGGGTCTTGGAGGGGGTGGACTAGGCGGACGGCGGAGATGGGGATGGCTTCCCGGAGCTGGTTGACTGTGGGCTGGCCGGGCTCGACTACGAAGCTGGGGAGTTGAGTGTTGATCTAGGGTGGGGGACGGGTCGTTAGTAAAATATGTTGGTGGGACGTGGGGATGGGGGGTCAGGCTTACGAGGCCGACATTGCCCGCCAGAGTGACGGTCATGTTTTCCTTCGTGAGGGTTTCAATAGGCGCGATATGCCCCTTGTATGCCCCCTCCGTCACAACTACCCTGTCGCCGACGGCAAGACAGAGGTATAGCGGCCCTCCAGCCCAGGCAGAGCGGGCTTGCTTGACTGCAAGTGTGGCTTTTTGTCTTAACAGGGCCCGCTCGCCCGAGATGGCACCCCAGAACGTGCCGAATTTATCTGGATGGGAAAAGGTACGGTCCGGCGCCAGGGGGCCAAGCTCCATGTCTTCGCGACGGGCGGCAACGGCAGCACGTCTCTCGTGTGTAGCTTGCTTGCCGCCGAATGAGAGTTCCTTCATCCTGTCCGCTTTTTCCTGCCCATTTCTTTGGACCTGGTTGCGCTTGTTTCGGCGAACGACCTGGCGCTCCGCCATGCGCACTCGACGAAGGATCTTGTCCATGCTGTCGGCGAGGGACGGGACGGGGCCGTCCCTAGATCAATCGGTATCTCTCGTGGTGGATGAAGCTGTGGGGAAGGAGTGTCGTTTCGTCCTCGTTGGCGGCGTTGCGGTCGGGCGGCCCCGGTGTGGTTCACCCCTCAGTAAGTCAATCTCGAAAAGTTTCGCTGCCATTGCAATTCCCAAAGCGGGCCATCGACCCCACATTTTCCACGTCAAGGGTGCACGTGCCAGGAACCGGGGAGAGATTTTGTGTGTGGCCGGCAGATCCCGCGACGGCTGGTGACAGCTGAGCACGGCATGACTTCAGATGCCATCGAGCCCCAGTCCGCCAGTCTGGGCCGATTCATGCACCCTTGCGTTCCAATCCTGTTTTTGGAAACAGGACGAGTCGATTGATGCAACGGTTTCGTGTTCTCTCTGCGCGGTCGCAAAGGCTTCCGGCTTCTCTCCGAGTCTAAGGCATTACCCCGTCGTCGACTTGCTCAAAAGAGGTTTCCTAATGACTACCTGACCTTGTGGAAGCCTTCTAGAAGTTCAATGCCTTTTCCGGTGCTTAGTTGCGGCTCTTGAGCTCTGCATTCCCGAGCCAAGTCCTATGACCTAGGACTTTGCGACCCACTTGTAAGACGACGCAGCAGAGATGCAAGACGCGAGAGCACGCGCCACGGCCACAGCAATTTGCCCCCCTAGTCCGGTTTCACCAACCTCTCAGACGACAGCTTCCAACTCTCGCTCATTGTTGTCTTGAGGCATGGGATCATTCGACTCGTTGTACGCGGAAAGCCGTGTTCCTCAGTTATCCCTGCCGCTTTTGCTGTGCCTGTCGTGTACGGCAACCGGGATTTATCCCACCACCCGTGATTCGGCTCCCATTCTCTAGCCCCAGACTTCCAGTGGTTGGGACCGCCCGTCTCCGGAGGCAGGGAGCTCCTAGAGGAAGGGAGGGAACTGGTGTCTCGAGAGGGCGGCCTGTTTGAGCAGGGCAATTGATATGCCATTTCATCCCCATTGAGCAGCAGATTCACGCCCTCGAGTTGCCGCCTGGCTGCAGGTCTCGAGATGCAGAGACGGAGAATGCGGTCAAGTCTCACGTGCCATGAGAAAGACTGCCTATCTCGGCAAACTGCCCGTCAGCTCGTTAGGACCCAAAGACTTCTTGTGTCGGGAATCGGCCAACGACGGGTTCTTCGCACAGGTTACTTGGGATGACCGAAGTGACGGTGACGGAAAGCTGGAGGTTTCCCACTCCACGGATGCTCTCGGCAAAACTTGACACTCCGCACCGCTTCAGGGGCCGCGTCCTCGTTTGCTGGGCCGAGTTTGCTTTCCTGGGCCCTGGGGCCAGCCCTGAGGCGGTCCGGATCGACAAGCTAGCGCCGAGGAGTACCTGGAAAGTGACCCGTACCGGGCAGCTCGATGGTAGCCGTTTAGTGGATGGTGATTTGCCAACTTCCGTAACCCTTTGCCTTCTCCCCGATAAGCACCTACCTGGGCAGCAGGCTAGTGTGCATAGTATGCCTGAGAGTACACTACAGCAGAACTTCGAGAGTCCTGCGCAAGAGTGAAGACGGACATATCTCATAGTACAAATATACATAACCTGGAACTTCCCGTGCATTATTAGGCTGCCCAGCAACAGGAAACCAGGACAACTGAACAAATAGGCGACCGCCTGGCGCCGACGTTGCTTCATCTCAGCCCAGACCAAGAGAACAGCACTTGAGCAAGCCCCCCGAAGCCTGCAAGGTTCTGTCCACTCACAGGGCTCCATTCCGAGAGGGCACCCACTCTCCCCTTCTTCTCGGCCATTCCCCCCAAGCCCCGAACCGAGCGCTGTCGCCCTTTCTCTGTCATCAATTGCAGCGGCCGCCAACCTCTTTTCCACAACCCGAACAACCTTCCTCCACTTTTCACCCCTTCCATCTCCTGCATTTGTTTGCATCAACCACTCGGCGACCGATTCTCTCAAAGGCATCGCCTGCCACCCTCCCTCTTAATCTTTCACCACCCGCGATCACTGTCGGCTTGTTTTTTCTTACTTTCGCCGCGGCTCTCTCTTGGACCTTGCGACGAGGTTGCAGCTGATCCTGCAACTCTAACAACACCATCAAATCCCTTTCGACAACAACCCCTTTCATCACACAGCAACCATGGCCGCCGAGCTCCGCAGGAAGTTGGTCATCGTGGGTGACGGTGCCTGCGGCAAGACCTGTTTGTTGATGTAAGTCTGCCTGCCACCTGCATGGTGACCCGAGAGTCGACCCCCGACCGCCGGGAGGCCGCCAACGACGTTTTCATCGCTGGGTGCGCTTCGATTTGTGCAGCATTGTATTGACTCGGCATGATTGCAGTGTTTTCTCCAAGGGTACCTTCCCGGAGGTGAGTTGAACTCGATCGAGAACTTCTTTTTCCGCGCCCCAAGCGTTCCGCCGGGTGCTGCCTCAGGTCTTGCACACATTCGCAGACCGCCTCCAAAAACACATTCACCTTCGACCCCTGCCCGATGACGATTTTCCATGGCCAATCGACCACACTCACCGCGTTGAACCCGTTACCCAGCCCTAAATACCCGGCCAACTAACATAAACACGCAGGTCTACGTCCCCACCGTCTTCGAAAACTACGTCGCCGATGTCGAGGTCGATGGAAAGCACGTTGAGCTGGCGCTATGGGATACGGCTGGCCAAGAGGACTACGATCGTCTGCGGCCCCTGTCGTACCCTGACTCCCACGTCATCCTGATCTGCTTCGCCGTCGACTCTCCCGATTCTCTGGACAACGTTGGCGAGAAGGTTAGTCGCAAGCCCGCGCCGTAGCAGATTGGCGCATTCGCGCTGCTGCACGCAAAACAATTCCATTTACTAACCCTCTTGTAACAGTGGTGCTCAGAAGTACATCACTTCTGCCCGGATGTCCCCAAGATCCTGGTTGGCTGCAAGAAGGATTTGCGTTTCGACCAGAAGACCATTGAGGAGCTCCACAAGACCAGCCAGCAGCCCGTGACCCCTGAGCAGGTAAGCCGTCCATGCCTGTCGACTCCAAGCGGGCCACCTTCCCCAGCGAGTCGATATTTCAGACTATGTGTTGGGACAGGCCGTTAACACTAGATGCTTGACAGGGTACCGCCGTTGCCAACAACATCAAGGCCACCAAGTATCTTGAGTGCTCTGCCAAGACCAACGAGGGTGTCCGCGAGGTGTTCGAGTTCGCGACACGGGCCGCACTCCTGAAGAAGACCGGGAAAAAGAAGAGCAGGTGCGTCATCGCCTAAACGGTGGTGCGCCTCGAATAGTCGACCTTCACGTTTGTCAACCCGTTGTCCGATCCCGGATCCCGTCTTCTCGGCAACAGCACGGCCCGTCACGATAGGGTTTACTTATCCCTGGGATATGAGAGATGGAGAATTTCTCATGCTTCTTGCGTTCCCCAGTTCTAGTCGGCGATGATAAACCGCCAGGTTGAGCAGATCTACGTTCCCCGGAAGGGTGGTGGCGGACGGCTCACGGATGGGAACGAGGGGATTACGAGATCTTGATTTTGGGCAGTTACGAGTCTTGAGGAAGAAAGGGAAAGATGCAACTTTACGAGCATCATGGGTAATGCCAAGGGGGTTTTTACTGCTTCTGTGATACCCCCAATTTCACAGGGCTGGGTTGGAGATGGCCGGCTAAACCGAAGGGGGAGAAGCGTGGGCGGCATGCTATAAATACACGCCCTTGCTTCTCTCTTCCTTCTTGTTTTTCTATCTAAGTCTTTTATTTTCTCCCTCTCTTTGTCTCTCTCACACTGTGTCTCAGATTACTTTTGACGGTACCGCGGTTCTTTCCCTGCTCGTTTTTTACTAGCTAGCTATCTATTTATTCACCCTGTTTTCTTGGACCTGGTGGTGGTTGTGGATGTGGTGTGTGTCTTGGCCAAACGTCCTCCTCCCAGGCGGCTTTGCCCGGCCGAGGCTTGTGGTTTTGTGTGTTTGTTGGCTAGGTACCTAGGTGGAACTGTAACTAATATGAATACAAGCAGGCTAATCTCGACTTGATACTGAAGGGGCTGGCTTGGCCGCGTGCACTTTGAATGAACGATATGCGGGTTAAGGTGTGTTGGAGACTCATAATCAGGATGTGGTTCGCCGTGCAATATTTCGTCGGCACACGCTCGATATCACTGACTTGGGTCACATGAGCAGGGGCAGGCTTTCGTGCTGCAGAGAGCTTTGTTCAAACGTGATTTCATTCCCAAGCCGTTTCCAGTACGATCCCCCCTACGAGATTGGGGCCTCCCGTTTCCTGACTGATACATCCATGCCATACTCCGTCCGTCCGTCTCGCTTAGATAGGCGGGCAGGCAGGTAGAGATACGGTGCTGAGCAGAGGGCTGAGGAAAAGAACGGCTGTCCAAAGAAAGGGATGGGTGAAAACGGCGATTCGGGGTCTCCTCGGGCAGTGTTACTTAGACGGGGCAGCTCTATGGCGGGGTTAGTTCGTGTGTACTAGTAGTGACGAGTACGAGTAGGTTAAGTAGTTGGTGGTGGTGGATAAGGGTATTGTGCGGTGTTGGATAGTAGGATATGAGTAGAGGGGGGAGGGGTAATGTGGTAAGTGCAAGAGGTTTTGATGTGAGGGAGTAGAAGAGCTGGATGTATAAAGGGATGGAGGAAGCAAGGCAGGTTTAACGTGGGAGAGAGGATAGGATAATGAGAGATTGGGAAGACGGAAGAAGATAAGAAAGGAGATAGGCTTACCGCGCCGCAGGCACCGCACGACTTGGTAGAGCCGTCGCTCGCGGCACCGCAACTGGGGCAGCTACTATCATGCATGTTGATGTTTTTCGAGGGGTTGTGTTGTGGGAAGATTTGTTTTGGTTGTTGTGTAAGTAAGGTGGTTGCTGGCCTCCTCTAGTTGTGGAGGAAGAGGAATCAAGAGCGAAGGTTCCGAGTGAGAGCGGGAAGTGGGTTGGAAGCGGGGGTCTTATACATAATCAACCAGAGCACTTCCAACTCCGAACCACCCCTCATCTCCAACGCTAAGGTACGTGTGCCTCGAGATGGGGTCGTTCCTTCCCACCCTCGTTCTCACCCTCCTTCACCTGAGACCTGAACCGTAGGTTCTCCCTGCACTGCCCTGCTAACTGCCCCTCTCATGTGGGCAACCCGTCCCACACCTCGCAACTCGCACTTATACACCTCACACTGCGCGGGCAACCTCAGGTCTGACAACATAGCAGATGGCCGATTTGGTTTAGTCCCCGCTTGAACACGTCCCGTTCGTAATGCACCGAGGGTTCCATGCAGCGGCAGAGTACAGGGGGCGGTTGATATGAGGCTGTCCTGGATATCTGTATCTTTTCCATTTGCCGTTTGTGCAAGGCTGCATGCATAACATCAAGTGACGTTTTTACCCAGTAGTTATCGAAAGGCTTCACAAGTGTGCCCCCACTTCCCCCATGAAGTTCGGTTTAGGTAACTTCTCTGCATCTCCGATTATAAGACCTACCTACGTAAGGTAGGTCCTCAGCCTTTCAACCTAGCGGTTTCTTCCGTCTCTAACTGATCGTAAGCTGAGATAGCTGCACACTCTCAAGCAACCCACCCAATATCCCCTCCCGCTGTCTCTAGGTACTGTACACATTTTCCCTCGGCAACTCGGAGACTCGTTGGATCCTCAAGTTACTACCGAGCGTCCTGCAAATAATGCGGAGAGCAGCCTACCCTATCAACGCAAATCCACATATCCACGTTGCCCCGATCAAATACGCACCAAGATGCGCGCATGACCGGGCAAGTACGCATGTGAGTGGGTGGGTATGGGGGTGATGGATGTTGCAGTGCGGGGTGTTTTGGGGGTAGGTAAGAGACCCCACGCCAAGTCCCCTAGGTTTCTCCTGACTGCAGCCCTCTGCTCATGCTAGGTGTGGATGGGACTCTTGGGGGAGAAAGATGAATGGGTGAATTGAGCAGACGTTTCTGCCTTGCTTGGTTTGGGAAAGTAGTTGTTATGCTGTATCTATGGGAATGGGCTGGATTTAGTGTAAAGGAAACGGTTAAGTGGAGAGTCAAAGGCAGGGGGTTCAGGAGAGCTTGCAAGAAAGAATCCGACTCGAAGATGTTACTCGTAGTTCCGCTTGTCTTGAAGCTCTTGAGGGACTTTATCGAAGGTAGGAAGTACTTTCCTTAAGTACAATGTTCAGTAGGTAGGTATATACCTTACCTATTGAACCTTTGAGCTTTGGCTCGAAGTCATGGTCTTGGAATTACAACCACGACTAATACTTAACCTGGGTCACAGTTGAACTATATCGGTCGCAATCAGGTTGCAGCCAGTTTGGCACCTTGAAAGATATCCGTCCCAGCCCATCGCCAGCCCGGATCTGGGGGTAATAAAAGTCTATATACATATCCAATGATTAGTAGTTTATAATCTACAGGTATCAATCAATAACATTGTCTCGTATCTCCCTCCCCTATAAGCAAACGGTTAGCACACAGCCTCACATCATGGATAAAAGCCGGCAGACACTCACCTGTAATCATCTTCGCAATCGCCTGCAGCATACTCATGACCATAACCGTGGTCCCAAACACCACCACCGCCCACGCCAAATACGTTTTCCACGACCTCGTCGTCAGCTTGATATAACACAACGGCGGCAAAATATACGCCATCGCCGCCGCGCTCGTCCCGCCCACCAAATCAAACACCGTGCCCAAATCACACGTCCACAGACTCAGCACCATCGCACTGAACACCAGACTGCTGGTGAAGATGAGGTGCAGGTTCATGTTGAACGGTTCGCCGGGAAAGTAGTAGTTGAACATGACCTCGCGGCAGACGAACGCCTCGAGAGGCAGGGTGGTGAGCATGTTGAGGCCGAAGCAGAGGCGGGCGACGTTGACCATGGTGTTGTCGGCGGGGAAATTGTTGAGGACGTTGCCTTGGGTTTTGTCGCCGAAGGTGAGGAAGCCGGAGAGGGCCATGATTAGGCAGGCGAACATGGAGACGGCGGTGGAGATGTGGGTGACGCGGGAGAAGCGGTCGATCGTGGGCTTTTCGAGGGAGCCGTAGATGAGGAGGGAGTTGTGGTGGCAGACGAAGGCTGTTTGTTGGGTGTTAAACGCTGTGTAAACGTGGTGGAGTGTGGAGTGTGGAGTGACGAGTTGAACATACCAAAGGATATTACCCCAATTGCCTGGAAAATCCCGTCGTTGATGACCAGCATCCGCCAGTCCTTCAACACACCTCTGTTCTCCGCTGGTACCATCATGCCTTGCACCAGCACAGTAAACACGATGATGCCCATGCTTATCAAGGCGAGCGTACTCGCTTTAGCCAACTACTCCCCGGGAAACCATCGTCAGCCACCTCACCTCTCGCTCTCTCTTTTCAGAGACAGACATCATTTCTCTTTCAAAGATAGACAACATTAAGGAGAAAGAAAAACAAGACCACTCACCTTAGCAATATCGCGATACAACGCCAACGGATAACTCACCAACAACGTAAACACCACAATCACCACCCTCCGATCCCCCAACAGCCCCACCACCGGCATCTCATCCAACCCGGGCCAAACCGCCCTCAAAACAGGCGGTATACTATCCCCCACAATGACCCCAAACGCCACCATCCCCCCAAACGCAAACGCCCACTGCGCCACGCTAATCGCCACCAACCCCGTCCTCCCAAAACACTTCTCCACCGTCCCCTGGAAACTGCTCGCCCCACTGAGCTTCGAGTTGACTACAATCAAACAAATCGTCCAGTCCACCACCACCGTCAGCAGCACCAGCAGCACGGTGCCCGCTAGCAGGCCGGCCTCGCGCATCGCGTAGGGTTGTCCGATGATGCCGGCGCCGATGATGGAGTTGGCCATGTTCATGAAGGCGGAGGGGAGCGAGGATTTCGGCCGGCGCTGCTCGGCTGCGTGCCAGGCTTCGGCGTCGGAGGTGGAGGTGAAGGGGGAGGAGGTCGCGACGGTCACGCTTGGCGCTTCGATATCTGTTAGGAGGGGGCGGCCGCCACGTTGGCCGTTGTGGGAGGACCCGTGCTGTTGTTGGAGGAGTGAAGGGTCGGAGGTAAGCGGGTCGGACTCGTTGAGGTCGAGGTCGAAGGATTCGCGCGGGTAGAGGTTGTCGGGATCATTGTTATCATGCCTCGTGGAGCCATTGGTATTGGCGTCGCCGTTAGCCGCGCGGTCATCGTCGTCGTCAACAATCGTCGGGCGCAAGTCGAAGCGCACTCGGTTCGGGGTTCGTGGATGCGCGCGCGACGAGCCGTTCATGCCCCCCTCTGCGCCATTCCCACTCATACCCCCGTGGGGAGACCGTCGACGGGGTAGGGGCCCGTCACTCTGCGAGTAGCCATGGCCACTTTGGTGACTGTGGTCACTGCTGGCTGCGTCGTCTAGGCTGTCCGGGTCGGGAGACAACAGCCCCGTCGCTTCTTCGCTACTACTCCTGTTGCTGCCACGCAGTGGAGAAGGGGAGGGGTTCCCACGCCGGTTGTTGTTGTTGCTGTTACTGCTGCTGTTGTTGGCAGCTGCTGCAGCACCATGTGAAGTGGCCCTGGCCATAACTATTCTTCCATCTGCGAGAGCGTCGCTTAGGGCATATTGCAGTTGGAGTTGGCGCGGTCGAAAAGAAGCAAACCGTCTCTCTCTGTCTGGTAAGACGCAACTGGTGATAATTCAGAGTTTGAACGAGCGTGGGCAAGGCCGGCGAGCTTGCGTCAAGAGAAAAAAGAATAACCAAACGTTGAAGATGTCCGTTTCAATCTTTCGCAGAAAGAAGGCTGACCGTGGCTTGTCTGGAACTTCGTTGTCAATTGCAATTGCAAGGCAGGTTCCAGAAAGGGAACTGCGTAATAAGTGGGTCGGTGCAGGGTCCTCAATGACCAATAGGATCGCCGTTCAAGCGTTGCAGTCCCGCTTTCTCAGGGGTCCCAGCGGCCCGGCAGAACAGGCGGAAAGCCCGGCGATATCCGGGCAGCCCAGGGAGAGCTCCTTCTCAACGACTCTGGGCGCCTTGGCTCGGGTCTGTCAAGCGAGTTGATGAAAAAGCTTAACATATCCGTACATGGTACCTACATACATAGTACATAGACGAAACACAGGACCTTAAACGCAAACCCAACATCGCATGCGGCTCATAATACGAAAAGAAGCGTCGGCTGTGATATTTCACAGAATCTCATTAGAAAGACAGTACGGACAAAAACCCAAGGTCCCGTTCACCAAGACCTGATTGCGAGCCATATACTTCGCAGTTTGATTCCCTGGAGCCCCCTTGAGGTTTGCTCCCTCCCTCCATCCCTTTTTGTGTATGTTTGTTTTCTGTGTGGTTGCGTGTGCTTATGTCCACGACTTCCTCCGGGGTATCATGTCAACAACTCGCTCTCTGTTGCCCGCTAGGTGCGAGCACGAAATTTAATATACAAAAATTTTCAATGGCCAACCAAGTCCACATCTGGCTAGCCAACCCATGTTCAGCTTGTGCTCCTCAATGAAGCACAGAGGGTGAACCGCCTCGCGTTTTCAGCTTCTCTCCCTGCTTGTGTCACTGTCTTACACCAACGCAGCAATGGCAGCCGCAACACCAAGTGCGAAACCATAGAACCCGGCCCCCACTACTTGGTGCCCGCCATTCACATGTGTTTGTGTCTGCGCCGGCCCCGGCCCGGGTGCCGTCTGTGAACTCCCCGGCCCCTGCGATTCCTGCCCACTAAACCCGGGCATGATCGGGTTCCCCGCATTATCGCCTACCGGAGGTGTGATCCCAGCCGGGTCGGCCGTGACGGAGACACCCGCACTGGCACTGATGGGGCCTAATGTCGTCGTCGTAGGCCTCGGCGGGGGCGCGGGCTTCGACGCAAAACCAACGCGCATCTTGTCGGCATCGAGGACGGTGTAGACGTTCTTGAGGAACGTGTCACCAACAAGCCAGGTGCCGCTGTACACCTCGTAGCCGTACAGGTTGGCAATGCACTTGTTCTGGTCGCGTTGTACGACCCAGTCCTGTGACGAGATCTCGTAGTCGACCCCGGAAAAGGTAATGTGAAGAGGTGCGGTCGTGTCGCACGGGATCGAGTATTCAATGTACTCGCCGTTTTGGTACGAGTCCGATCCGGGAATAAGTTTGAAGAGCGCAGCCAGATCATCCGGGGGAGCAAAAATGAACGAGGTGCCGGTGTCGATGTAGGCGGTCTGACTCTTGATAGTGGCGGTCTTGCCGTCGAAGCCCGTCCCTCCCAATGCAATCGCCCACTCGCCCGTGGTCTTGTGGTCGGGCTCGACGACATGGTAAGTGATATCGCCTTTGTACTTGGTGGAATCAACACCACCGAATGTGACTTGGCCGTCATTCACGCCGTCGGAGTCCCGGTTCAGCGACAAGCCCACCAAGAGCGTGTCCAACACCTTTGCTGTTTTTAGTGTTTGCAAGAATGCCCCAGTGACGGAAGGGCTCATGGCTAGGCCGAGGATGCCATCGAAGGCAAAGTGCGTGAAGTCGTCGGTGGTTTCGTTCGCTAAACCGAATGAGAGGTCGTGTTTGAGCCCGGCCAATGTCGCGGTATCGTGGCCAATGGTCCCCGTCAGGCTGCCCGATCCGTACTGAATCAAGAAACCCTTGTCCCCCGATTTCCACGACGTCGAAGAGCTGGGGTCGAAAGTGTCGTGCATCTCGCACGCCTTGGACGTGCAGTCGGAGCCCATGAGCCATGTGTTGGAGGCACCCGAGTCGAGGAGCATGTAAAACGGCTGTTGGGCAGATCCCACTTGGACCTTGATGAAGTACGAGTAGTCTGGGCCGTATTGGTAGATGCCCGCACTGTTAGAGATAGTTGGTGTCTCGGGCGTGGAGACCGAGTATGTGTTCTTCCGCTTGCTGAGCTCGGAGGTTGGGGACGCCTGGGGCTTCCCAAACTTGCGGGTGACCCGGCCCAAGGCTTCGGCTATCGGGTCAAAGTGGGCGGCAGCATGGCGCTGTCGTACTCGTCAGCACAAAGATCACACACATCAAACTCGGCGAGAATAAATAAACAAAGGACCCGGAAAGACGTACTCCAGATGGTTTACGGACAAGGTCAAGAGTGACCGCATCAGAACCATCTTCGCCCCGCTTCCCCTCGGCCTTCCCTAACCCATCTGGACCGCAATGGCCGTTCGGAACGAACGGGTAGAAGGCATGAACGGTGACAGCCCAGAGCGTCAGCTGCAGGAGCAGAGCCGCTATCCTCGACATATTGTCGAGTTGGCTGTGAAGGTTTTTGAATAACCACTCCCACACCGGATATCGGCGTGGGGGGTACGGCTGGTCACGTCGTCTCCAGTGGTTTTAGAAAGTTGAATGCTCGAAGATACGAGCTCGGTTGGTGGACGGTCGGTAGTTGCTTTCAGCATGTGAGCGAGCAACAAGTCGATGGTGTGCCGGATCGAACGGGATGGCCTGGAGGTGTTGATAGCTCGAATTGGGTCGAACGATTCGGTGACCCGAGTCCCAGACTCTACCACCGGGTAACGTATTATGGAGATTAAGTATTAAGAGGTTGACATATGTGTCTCGTGGAATTCGGTGCTGGAACGCCCGGAACGAGGAAGTGTCGATAGAATTAAGGAAATAACGAGATCGCGGAAACTGGTGCCGAGTTTTTACAGAGAAACGGCCGACAAAGCAACTGGAAACAAGCCGGCTAGAATAAATTCGCAAAGATCGAGAGAGCGGAAATAGTTGACGAGAAATTAGACGAGACGAAAGACGAAATATGCCTGTATGCGGGGAGGCAACTCGAGACGAGAGACAAGACAGACAGTCCGGGCGGAGTGAGACTCTACTAAGCCAGGATGCAAAAGGGGTGAAACAACCAAACGCTGTGAGTCTGATGCAAAAAGTAATAAAATAGAAACACCCTCGGCGATGGACACACCAAGAAACCCCAAGGAAGTCGTCTGGTGGAGAGGAGGGGGAGGTTAAAGTGATGAGAGATGAGAGGGGGGGAATGGAGGAGGTGAGGAGGTGAAGGTTGAGGTGGAGGTGGCGGACAAGAAGAGGGAAAAGCAATGCAGCATTGGAGCACGGCAAAGATGGAAGCAACCTCGAAGCGGCCGAGGTGGATCGCCTTTCGAGGAGCCGGGCATGGCGGAGAGAATGCAACGACCTTGGCCGGGTGTGGGCAACGCGCCAGGGGGGTTGCAGTGCAGACCCCAGCACGTCTCTTTGGTGGCTGGCTGCTTGCGTCTGATAGCAGTTGCTCGCCCGATACAGCACGATGGGAAAGTGGTACGCTTGGTACGGTAATATCAGGAGGAAGCAAACTCCCTGCAGCGCGAGGATTCTTTCCTGATCAAGAAGCAACGGGGATAAAGGGACACGGTCAATTGGGGCGTTTGCTGCGTTTCTGTCTTCCACACGCCCGCGCAAATGCAGAGGACAGTGGCCGGAAGGCTGCGGAAGCCCATGCTTGGATGTGGGGAGAGCAGCGGAGCGTTGTTTCCTGGTCTGCACCTTGGACGTGCAATCGCCCCAATCAACAGACATTAGGTAAGAAAGCCTTGTCTCATCTGCTGCCCGGCCGCTGCTGCTTTTCTGTTCCAGACTTTTGCCATTGGAGTTCTGTGCAAGGCGGCCGTTGCCAGAATGACGCCTCTTTGCGTAAAAAAGCAAAGCATCTAGAGCCGCGTGCGGGTTGGCGAAATCCGTTCGTGAAGAATCCGGGCCAGCCAGCTTCTGGATCTTCCCCCCCCTGGTCCCGTCCCGACTCAGAGATCTTCGCTGTGCGGACAGGGGGTCCGGCGACGTTTAATCTTGTATCTGTCTTCTAATTGGAGGACTGTATCGACAAGCTCCGGTGGTGGGGCAGCGTCTGTGGGTTTTCCGTCCCAATTCGTTCGACCCCGGTAATGGACGGGGATTTCTGGACTGGACACCTCGAATTGTCTGGATCGTGACTTTTCACATTCAATTCTTGAGAAGAAACACGAGACTGTGGAGGGAGCGTCGTGGTCTCGACCTTCCACCTGGCGCCTCATTCGGGGGATAGTGGAGAAACAGACACAACCGCGCACTAGCATGACAAAAATAACCCACTGCAAAACATGCAGAACAACCCGCTTTGCGAGCGCTTCGTCGAATGCAAGACCGAGGGGAAAGCCAAACCAACAGCATCAAATCCCCGGTCACCACTTTTTGATAAGAGACCAACTTGGGAACCGGCGCTTTTGCCCCAGACCACGATGCAACTCTGGCTCCTCCCTTCTCCCCTGTTTGCGTCGGTTCGCGCAGTGCCAAGGACCGACTGCAAGCCCGGCTTTTCCAGGGTTGGCCCAATCGGTATCGCTCTCTGGGGACGGTCCACCCCGGCCACATGTGCGGATCGAGCAAGCGCCGTGTTGCTCGGAATTTCCTCCCCCCAAAGTCCAAACCGAGTCGAGCGAAACAAACTTACCGAATGCCACCACGCCAGAGGAAAAAGGCTTCGCCAGCGTGGGTTTTGTTCATCTGCAGACAGACAGCAACGTTGTTTCCCCACGCCGAGTTTGTTGAGGGGTTTTCGTCTGGAGATGTCAAGGCTGCATCTTGAGCGGATCGTCGAGAGGCTGAGCAGAACCGTTGTTTCATCATGGCCTCAACTCAGGGGCTCCGTTCAGTTGATCTGAAGATCTCTCTCACAACTTCGTGCCTTGATCGTGATGAGAGGAGTTGGGGGGGAATCCCCTTCGCTCACTCACTATGTCCGTGTAATCCGCGTTCAACATGACTCGAGGATGAGCAGAAATGCCGCAGACATAGCCTGCCTCCCTGCGTAGCATAGTCCACTCGAAAGAATAACCGATTTGAGGTTCTCCTGCATGCAGATGCTTGCTCTCGCGGCTGAATTGACCAACACAACAGCAGCAGCGCTTGTCTGTGTCTCGATATTACCAGACGTAGGACCTCTGAACCAAGCTCATGAAGGAAAAGAAGCAATCAATGGCTACTTCCTCGTATTTTTGCCTGGATTGCGTGGTTCTTGGAATGTGAATGTGGACTCATGCGGCTCGCCACGGTCACAACATGAGAGAGAAGCTTATCTCGTGCATGCCTCATCTCGGGTATTCCAAACCGTTTGATAACGTAGATGCAGCCGTGGCGAAGAACCAACAGACCGAAGCCTCGCCGAAGGGCTCGAACTTCTTTCTTTGCACTTGGCATGTTTGGTGGTACCAACAGTCCAAATTACCCAGCCACGCCCGGGCTCTCGGTGTTTTCCCCAGACTCAAGCCCACGTTAGCCACGAGGGATGGATGATGTGTGTGTGTGTTTGTTGTGAAGCCCCATTTCGGCAAGCTATCACGCTTCCACGGGGCGTCGATACTTCCCACTCCAGTCAACCGCGGCCCGTAGCACCGCTTGATCCGCCGGTACTGTAGAACCCTCTAAAACAGCTCCCTGAACAGCAAGAAAGCGAGCATACTCCTCGTCACTCACAGCCCCGGAAGCCGCAAGAGTCCGCAAAAACACCCATACTGACTCGTTTGCCAGCCGAAGTGAACTCACTAGGTCCAGAACCTCCATGAAGGTTGCTGAGCTTGACTTCGCGACAGACGTCACATCATCCTCAAAACCCAACAAGAAAGCGAGAAAAGACCACCCAGAGATGTCAGTGTGATGCTGGAAGCACCACGTCCGCACCGCGGCTCTTGCTTCGGGGAGACTAAACCGGCTCTGCGGCTGCTGCTGCTGGAGAGCTCTTGTAGTCAGGAAACGAGCGTGGCACCAGGCATAATAGTTCCTTGGATGCCGCTCCCCAGCCACAAACACAACGTCCTTCAATGTGCTGATAACATCCACCGGTATCTCGAGCGACGACGCCGAGAAGTCCACCAGCCAGCGGCGATGACTCCAGAGGACGGGCGACTTGGTGTGCCGGTGGAGGCGGCTTGTGAGGAGGCTATCGATGAAGCGTAGTTCTTTGGTGAGCCTGGTACGTGCGTGGGAGGGGGACGGGGAGGATGATGAGAGCTCGGCCTGGATGAGCCGTTTTCTGGTGTTGGCGGCTGTGAGGTACTCCGGGTCGAAGAGGAGGATCACAGACGTGGCGAGGAATAATTCGTCTGGTGTTCGTGGGTTTGTCTTGTTGAGGTGGCTGCTGAGTTGCTCTCTTGCTAGCATGAAGGCCTGGACGAGGCCGAGCTTGGAGATGCCCACTGCGCGCCCGTCTTGGAGAAGATATTGCCCCTCTCCGAAGGGTGGCCCTCCGCCTAGGATCTCGATTTCTAAGAGACTGTCATATGGGGGTATGAGAGCCTCGGATATTGCTTGAAATGCTGCTTGAGGGTCCCCTTTTTTCAACAATGCTGCCGTCGCTTTGTCTAGGGCTCGTGACATGTTTGGAGAGCCGTGATGGCTCCGGACCAACGCAGGGTTATCTCAGTGTCCTTGGGCCTTTTTTGGTCTCGGATGTAAAACTCGACTTCGATTGAGCAGTGTCTATATCCACAAGGAAATTGGAGTTACAACAAAACCACGAAAGCTTGACTTGTTTCATGGAGAAGCGAGTTTGTTAAGACAAGGCGCGGCCCACATGGCTTACCCCAATGTTGAAGTTTAGTCAACCCTAACCCTGGCTTACACGACTTGCGGCTGGCCAGGCCGCTGCGGAACCACGTTGGCGGGCCACGGGTGGTGTGAGCTGGCAGTTCCGTCATCGCCTCAGTGAGCTTCTGGAGCTTCTTTGCTTGCCTGGGGGGCGACTCAAACCACACAGGAGTCGATGACAGCAATCGTTCCCCCCTGACGCTTACCCCAAAACGCCGATCTGTCCTGACCCCGACCGACTGGACAGAAATTCGAGTTGAATTGACTTAACTCGACTTACTTGACTCCCAGAGCCTTGTCCCGCGAAAACCGAAAGTCTGCCTGCCAAACGAACGAACGAACAAACAAACAAACCATGCCGTCGTTACTGGTGGTCATCTTCGTGTTGGAGCTGGCGGTGCAGCTTATCAACACCATCGGCGCAACGACGATCAACAATTTGGTGCGCAAATCCGCTGCGGAGGAATACTATTTTGGGGGGGAAGCCAATTCTAACAAGAGCATTTTTTGCCACAGATATGGCGAATCTACCTCTCCCTCCCAACACCGCTCGCGAAGCAGTACACCGAGCAGCGAAAACTACAAAAGAATTACCTGGTCGTGCGCCATGACCTCAACGCGACAAGCAGCCAGGACGAGTTTGCCAAATGGGCGAAGCTGCGCCGGCAGCACGACAAGTTGCTAGAGGAGCTGGAGAAGAAAAGTACGCAGGACCTGGCCCAGCAAAGGCTTACACTCAGCTATCTAGTGACTCCTACTAACCGACATGTTCGTTCGTCCTTACAGAATCCAACCTCGACGCCTCGCGCACAACCTTCGACCGCTACCTAACCGGCGTCCGCCTCATCTCAACCCGCGGCGCACAATGGCTGCTCCCCATGTGGCACGGCAAAACGCCCATGTTCTGGCTCCCCTACGGCTGGTTCCCCTACTACATCGAGTGGTTCGCGTCGTTCCCGCGCGCGCCGCTGGGCAGCGTCAGCATTGTGATGTGGCAATCGGCATGCACGGCCATTCTGACGCTGGTGATGAACACGGTGGTGGGCATCTTGGGGCTTGTTGCGGCGAGCCGGCAGGCGGCGCAGGAGAAGAAGAGGAAGCAAAAGCAGAAGGAGAAGCCGGTACCTGCTGCGGCGGGTTCAGGGAATGACGAGGGGAAGAAGGAATTGTAATTTTTTCGATGTGTAAGGAGTGAGAGAACGAGATTGGTTATGGGTTATTAATCACACGACAACGCGCGATGCGCAACGACATAGAATGGAACGAAATAATGTCTCTCGGCATTTGACGCAGTGATCCTTCATAGCCGGAGCTAGAATTCTGCAACACTACGCGAGATGACTCTTGGCAGAGTACTTGGGCTCAATCTAGGCAACACATTGACTTTGATCGCCCATAAGAGGGACGGTAAAGCTTCGATAGTGCCAATCGCGAAGGGGGAGTTGAACATGCGAGTCACAGCGAGGGGACGGAATTGTAAGTTTTCGGATTGTATAAGAATATCTCGTGAAATAACTAAAATAAGCATTGTCAATGCGATGGTTGCTCTGCTCCCGATGGCGCTGCGCAACATGTCGCTCAAGCAGTGAGTTGTCGCGTTGAACTGTGGAACGGAATCAAGAAATCGGGAACCGGATTTATATATTTTTTTCAGCCCACACGAGGCTGCCATGGCCCCACTCTCGCGCGTTAAACCGCCCCACATCCCTGAGTGCTGCCCCCCTGTTCCCTTCAGCCTTGTCCAACACATTGCACCTCCAAACACCAAAGCTGTTTGTTCTTTGTCTTTTTCTTCTCCAGTTCTCGACATAGACGGTTCCCAGCGCGGGAAGACCACACCGACACCATGGCGATACCATGGGGGACGTAAGTATACCAGCCCCTAATTGTGTACAATTTCCTATTGCAACTTTTCCCCTTCTGTGGTTGTCGCTGCTAAGTTAACGCGTTCGCTCACACGACCACCAGAATCAAGTCCCTCCTCATCTTTTTCGGCCCCATGCTTCTCCCCAAAGCCATCAGCTACTACCGCCGCGCCCGCGCCGCCCCGCGCGCCCACGGCCTCACCATCCGCCCCCTCCCACCCCGCATCACCCGCGCCGTCGCCATCCTCCTCGCCGTAGCAACCGTCTTCCTCCTCCGCACCCTCCCCCCCTTCGCCCCCGAAAACATCTTTCGACTCACCCAATCCCGCCTGCAAATCCCCGCCGACGTCCTCTTCAACCGCCTCGCCGCCCTCCGCCCAGACCACACCCTCACCCTGCGAGACCTCCAACTCCGCGCGAAATTCGCCTCCCTCGAATCCCGCCTGCTCTACCTCCAACACGGCCCTTCCGTGCTCGCGACATGCCCCTTCTGTTCCTCCGATGACCCCCGGTCGTACTTCTATTACGCCCTCCCCGACCTGCTGACGCCACACCTGTTTAACCTCACCCTCATCGCCCTCGTAACATCTACCTTATTCACGGCTTCCCGGACAGCGTCCTCCTGGCGTCGCGTGGCCACCCTGACGGCCGCCGCCCTCGCACTGGCCGATTGCTACTGGGTTTCCTCGTACAACCCGCACGTCCACAACCCGCGTGCGTTGAGGCTCAACGAAATCGATTTCTTCTTCTGGACCGCGCGGGCCGTGCGCTTAGGCGGGCTAGCCACGCTGGATATCCTGCTCGCGCTAGCGCTCTACCTCTCCGGCACGCGCCGGGCGTTTGTACGGCCGCCCTCTGCAGCAGATCGCGTGGAAAGAACAACAGCGGCGTTGCTGGGTGCGAAGAGGAGGATGAATGCGGCCGGGGTGGTGAAGAATACGGTGGTGAGGGATGAAGGGTTGCGGGGGAGGAGTGTGGCGTATTGGACGCATGAGGCGAGGTTGACGAGGGAGATGATGGAGGAACGGGAGGTGGTGGAGGGAGTGAAGGATGCGTTGGCGAATCGGATTGATATTGGAGGGGTGGAGAGGGATGCGGAGGCTTATGCGAAGGCGGTGCTGTTGCCGTTGGCTAAGGAGGATGGAGGTACTGGGGGGAAGGCGAAACAAGGGGTGGTGAAGGAGGAGGTTGTTGGGTAGGATGGTTAGATTTGATACATTGTATTTGATTATTTAGACATGGCGATGATACACAAGACCCGGTCCGCCCACCTTAGAAATATATTTGGGTTCCTGAATTCTGGTAATACCACTTTATTTTACCACATCCGCTAGACCATATCTCCCACTGACCCTCATCTTCATTGGACAATTGGACGGAGCTGCCGCTCGACGTAAACTTTAACTAAAACTCAAGGCCCATCTCGCCTCAGCAGTGCTAAGATCATCACTCTATGCTGTATGGATGTACAACGCCGCAAACAATGCCCCCCTGTCCTTTCCTAGCAACACAACAGTCATGCAGACAGACACACAGACATACACATACAGCCTCATCCTTGTTTTCTTCCTGCTCCGCTCGCCTTTCTCCGTCTCGTGTAGACCATGCCATGCATATAAAGATAGGGTACAATACCTAAATACCATACCAACCTACGTATGCCCCCGTGTATCCGGCCTCCCTCCCCCAGCGGTACTCACACTTGCCGTACTCCCCTTCCTCCCTCCATTCCCACCCCCATTCCCCCCACCACCCGCAGCCTCATCAACACTCTGCTCCAAAAAACTCGCCCACAAATCCGCCAACGACTCCCTCGGGTGTCCAACAGCCCCATTCCCTCCCATACTCCCCGCGCCCCCGCCCGCTTCAAAAAATTCAGTGCTGAGCGCCGGTGAACTGGGGGTTCGGTGGAAGGGAGAGCTGGGAAGGCGGAGGGTGTTTCCGGAGCCGCCCGTGATGGATGAGCCGAGGGGACCGGCTCCGCCGGGACGGGCGAGACCGGCTTTTTCGCGTTGCTCGTCGGTCCAACTGAGGAGGTTGGCCATGACTTGGAGGATTTGGAATTTTTTGGGGTCGGAGCGGTCGAGGGTGAGGAATTGGAGGAAGTGGTTTGTTACTAGTTGTCTGTGGGGGGGTGTTAGTGGTTTTCCCAAAAGGTAATAAGAAGAAGGGATGCTGGAAAGATAAGGAAGGGAAAAGGGGAATCATACTTGTCTATCGTCTCTTCCGGCTTCGTCTTCTTGATATATTTCAACGCCTTCGTCAAATGATCATTCAACACAATCGCCTCATGCCGGAGCTTCCCAATCAGCAAGTTCTTCTCCTTGACCTCCTTCTCAAACGGCACCGTCCGCTCCAGCTCCTTCGACAGCTTCTCCCTTGCCGACTCGGCCTCGCCCGCCCGCCCATCAGCCTCTTGCGCACGCTTCTTAAGCGCCTGCACCTGCTCCTCCGTCGACTCGACCATCTCGCGCAATTCCCGCTTGCGCGTGTCCTGCAGCTCCTGCAGCGCCCTTTGTAGCCGGTCGACGGCTTGTGATTGGGCTTCGCGGTCGGAGTCGGCGCGCTCGAACGCCTCGCGCGACGTGGTGACCTGCTCCTCGAGGTCGGATACTTTATCCGACAAACTCTCGCGCAGTGAGCGTTCCTCCATGGCGATCACTTCCCACTCGCCCATGGCGGCTGTGGTCGATTCGAGCTCGCTTTTGAGGTGCTGCATTTGCCGGGATACATCGTCCTTTTCCTTGAGCCAGTTCTGTTGGGACAAGTTGCTTCGGCTGCGCAGGCTGGCGAGTTCGCGCCCTTGTTCCTGGACCTCGCCCCGCAGGCGTTCGACTTCCTCCTCGCGGGCGGTGACGGTCGTTTGGAGCTCGTCATTTTGGGCTTCCAGTTCCTCGAGCCGGTCCTTGGTTTCTTCCAACTCGGCCTTGTCCCGTTTTAATCGGTCGCCGAGTGTCTCGCGGATTTTCTCGACTCGCCCCAGCAGGTTCTGGTACTGCTCTTCGGCCTGTTCCTTGGCGGTTTCCGCTTCTTCGACCTCGGTCCGGAGTTGGGCGACCTCTTCGGTATGCGATTCTTGGATCCGCTGGAGCTGTTTTCGTAGTTGCTCGACCTCGAGCCGCAGCGCATCGTCGTCTTGTGACATGGTTTCTTCTAACTTGGTGCTTCCCGCCCCTGGTATTGTCCCGGATGGTGTGTGTCCGTTGGCGCCGGCATGGCCGTTTGCCGCGCGCTTCGAGTCGTCCTCGGGTTTCGTCTCGGTTGCTGTAGGTGGTGCAGCTGGTGCAGGCGGTGTCGTCGTTTCTTTGTTCTCCTCCTGGGGATTTTGTTGTGGCTCCGAGCTGTCTGGCGCAGAGCCCGACTCTGGCAGCGAGTCCTGTGTATTCTGAAGAAGGCGTTAGGACCAGGTCAGGACACCAATCTGTCTTTAGAAGTGGGGCAGCCCAATGTTTAACACAAGTCAAGCATAAAATAAACATACCAAACCGTGACTCTCTAGCTCTTCTAACACTTCCTTGCCCGCTGCACTCTCCACGCCATCGCTCTCCTCGCGGATATCTGTACTCGGCTCGGGTGCAGGGGGGTTCTGCTGCGAATCTGGTGGAGCTGTGTCGTCGTCGTCGGTGGTGGCGGTGGGAACGGTGGCCGCTGCTGTACTAACACTCACTTCGGCGGTGTTGGCGTCCGGGGTGCTGGTGGTGTCCGGGGTGCTGGTGGTGTCCGGGGTGTTGGTGTTGGTGTTGGGGTCGGCACTGGCGTTCGTGTTGGCGTTGCCCTTGTTCCCCTTCTTTTTTCTATTTCGATGATTCTTCTTGTTCGTCGAAACGGCCGCGGAACCTGCTATGTTATCGCAAAAGCATCATTTCCCATTAGCGCAACATGCACATAACGAGGAATCGCACGCAGCAGCCCACACAACAACAAAACCACCAATGCGCTGACTGGCTAGGGTTGGCGATGTGGCCTGGACTGGCCTCTTTTCTCTCTGTCTCTTGGCCCTTCCTCCTCACCAACCCGGGCGCCCAGCCGCGTGGCATGCTAACCCCCCCTTCCCCTCTGAATAAAAAGCCCACTTTGGGACGTACCGTTCGCTGCTGATTGGACAGGCCCTGTTGGCGCGGCCGAAGACGACATGGTGTGAAGTGCAATTGGCGGTGCTCTATCGGCTTGTCGGGTAGTTGTTGAGGACACGGAGGCAGCATCCCAGGATCTGGAAGGGCGGAACCAGTTTGTGGACGGGAGGGCCCGCTTTGGTTGTTGTTGTCTCGAGGAACGTTGACGTTTAGGTTGTCGTTCCTTGCTTCGTTGGAGCTCGGTATGGCTGTGTGGCTTTGCGTATTCTGTATGACGAAGGATGGAAACGACAGCATGGATCGATCGATGGGATTGGCGCGCACTGTGGTACCGTACTGTATTCAGGTTCTCGTATTCCCAGCGCCTAGTGACTTTATGTGCCGTTTTGGGGACGGGGTTTAAGAATATTGGTCTGTTTTAGATCACTAGCTCCGAAGAGCCATGCGGGACTCAACGGATGTTGCGTGATTGTTGCAGGTCGGATGGTTCGTGGAGTTAGACGGACACATGGAGAGTAATTATCCGTTCCCATATATAGTACAGAGTTTCAAGATGTGTGTGTGACATTCCCCAAAGGTTTACCTTCCGAACCATAAAATCAAGTGTCTTTGACTCTGCTCTTTAAATACAGGCAAATTCAGAATTCAACAAGAGCATAACTAGCTAGTTTGTTTCAAACAAGATCCTCTTGCTAGGGCGATGACTGATACGCCTGGCTGCAGCCCTTGAAAACAAACTCCTTCGTAAATCACACTGTATTACCTAATCACTTCAACCCGCGTCTTGGAAAGGCAGCTCAAGCGATCCAATCTTCGGATTTTCTTCCTCTTTTCTCTCCTCACATATTTTCTCTTCGCCCGACTTTCTACCGGATCTGCCAATTGCGCATCGCAAAAATTTTGCTGGCTTTTTCACTCTGGGGCTGAAGTAGAGCAGTTGAATTGCGCTTTATAATCTTGACAACTCTCGGGGCATCTTGGATGCCTCTTCAAGAGTTTGTCAGGTTCGCTTGGTGCACACATTCCCACACATGACTATCCGTAGAGCTAGCTAGGAGTAGAGGGACGGACACTGAGGTTGACAAACCATTTGGTTGTTGGTCCCAACGATGGGTATAACAATGGAATTAAACACGCCGCGCTATCTGCGACCAATTACTTGCTCATGACTTGGTCTTCCTGCCCTTCTTCGCCTTCTTCTGCGGAGCAGTCCCGTCTCCCGAAGATTTTGTCTTCGCAGCTTTAGCCACCACCTCCGGCTCAACTGCCTCCTCCTCCTTGTCCTCCGTTTCCTCAGCCGCAGGCGGTGCCTCAATAGCCTTGGGCTCCTCCTCCCCCGTCACCGTCTCCCCGTTCTCCAACAGCGGCTTAGCCTCCGCAGCTTTAAGCGCAGGCGCCTCAAACTCATACCCCATCGCCTTCAACTTCTCCGCCCTCCCAGCCCTTCTCTTTTCCTCCTTAGAAATCCGGCTCTGCCACTGCGCCTCGGACAGCGGCCGCTCTAGCTGGCGACCAGCCATCTTATTCCACGGCACAACCTTAAACCGGCGATTGGCGCCCTTGAACAGGTCCTTGTGCACCTGCTCCGGCGCCACCGTCTTGGCCGAGAGCAGGTGGCCGAAGAGCAGGTACTTGTCCATGGTGCGGGCCGCGATGTCAGCGACCTCGGCGTCGGCGAACTCGATGAAGGCCCGGTGGCGGCTGGCGCCGGTCTTCTTGTTGCGGACTACCCGGAGCCGGGTGATGTCGCCGAATTGGCCGAAGTAGGAGCGGAGTTCGTGCTCGTAGAAACCGTGGGGGATTCGGGCGAGGTACATGACGCCGGGGTTGCCGTTCGTGGTGGTGGAGGAGGGTTTTGGGGCTTTCTTGGCCTTGGGGACTTTGCCGACGTCCTGGCCTTTCTTGAATGTGCTGATCTCGGTTGTCTCTGCCTCGTCGTCGTCGCCGCCGTCGAGTGCTTTGACAAGGGCCTTGGTGCTCTCGTCAACCTCCTCCTCCTCTACGTCGGATGGGACATCGCCGTTTTCTGTGTCTTCCGGTTCTGCAACCTTTTTGGACTTGGGCTTGGCCGATTGCTTCTCCTTCTTCAGCGCCGACTGCTTCGCCACAGGCTTCTCTTCGGCGGCTGTCTTGCTGCTGGCGACATCCTTGCTAGGCTTCTGCTTCTTTACCGCGACGGGAGAGGCTTCCTCGGGAGCTAATTAAGAGGATCGTTAAAAATTGTAAAAGGTCGATTGGGTGCCAACAACGTTACTCACCCTTGCGCTTCTCAGTTTTGGGAGTCGCCTTGGAGGGCTTGACTTTTTTGGCGACGGGGTCTGGCTCTGCAACAGCAGCTAAATTTCAATCAATTAGCATTGTGGATGCGGAATCGGTCGTAATTCGAAAACTTACGCTTCGACTTTCGCTTGCGCAGTTCGGGAGCCATTGTGTCTGGTTATCCTCGAGGTTATGGTCCGGGATGCGTGGATGAACGCCAGTCCACAGCGACAAGACAAATGGAAGAGATAGCCTCCAGAAAATTTCTGGATTCTGCCGGCATGTTGCGCTGGGCGGTGAGTCCATTGCGTCCGCTGCAGAATCCCCCAAAGCAGCGGCCCCGCCTGCAGTGAACCCGTCCCGGGGCTTCCCTTTTGGGTTGCGATGAAACCGTCCACTAACACCAAGCTCCTGTTTGGTCGGGTGTTTGGACTCTAACGATTCAACATTGTAAACTGCCAACCCATTGGAGAAGAACTGCAGGCTTCCACTCGGGCAGCTTGTCCATAGCCAGACTATTCCCAGACACGGAGCAGCTCTCGTTGCACCGTTTGGGCATCGATGCGGGGCATTTCAGGGCCGTTGACTCGTTCCAGGTTGGGCAACCTTAGGGGCCTCGCTGTGGCCAAAAAAAGCGACACACTAAAACAGATAGCTCAAGTCTACTTTGTAGGCCATTAACATTCGATCAAATCTTAATAAATTTTGATTGATATACTCTTTTTTTTCTTTTTTCACTTTCTGGATTTATTCTTTTTTCTCTTCTTCCCTTTTTTTAGTTTATTCTTTTTGGTTTTTTTCACCTTTCTAACAAAGTAAGTTATCCAGGGACTTGGTGTGCCGCTTTTTTTGGCCATAGCGAGGGGGCCTGGGGACACCGCAACGATCCCACGATTCCTCCCCCACTAGATGAGCTGGCAAACCGAGCAGCGGGTTGTCCAAGATGCTCTTATGCAAGGCGGAGGAGCACCGCATCGCCTGAGCTGGGCTGAAGACAAATTGATTGGACCCTGGGAGCCCTGGGAACCTGGAGAGGCCCCCCGCGCTGCAGGAATCCAGGCATTTTTTTCCCGGCGGGCGCTGCAGCGGATCAATCATCGGGGTGGGTTTTGCAGCGGGCCACTGCACATGTCGCGCAGCTAGGGGACGCACGGGGTTTTAGTGAGTGTGTGATGAGAGCTGTTTCATCCAAGAATTTGTTTCTGGAAGGAGCTTCCTTTTCCTCTTTCCTTTTCAACTCGGCCTAGTTGGGAGCAAGTAAAAGAATTCAACCATTCATCTGACCAAGTCGTGGGGTCACCCGGGCGTTTTCTTTACGTTACCCCTGCTGCTGGGCTGTTTCTGCCGTAAAAGTCCAGGTTGCCTCTTGGTGGCTCAGTTTTCAGACGAACAGAACAACCAACCCACCCGACAAACAGCACACCACCACATTCAAATCCCACCACAACGGATCGGAAGACTCAGAGTGGTGGTGCGTGCCCTCGTGCGACGTCCGCCCTGTCTCTCATGTACATTCGTCGATTCGGAAGCATGTGCGGCCGCACGCCGTGAGAGGAGTATTACGCGTTGTCTTGTGCAACTCAGCCTCGCATATTACGCCCGCTCGGGAATTCCGCAGACCGCTACGGCTGGCAACTAGGCGCTCCACAGCAGCACACGCAGCGCCAACAGGGATGCAACGAGGAGGTTGGGCGTGTCTCTGCTGTCTCTCTGCTGCAGTGTCGCCGCCAGATTCTGACCAACAACCTTAAGGAGCGACGACTGGGGGGTTTGTGAAGATTTTTTATTTTATTTTTGATTTCTAAAACGACGCGTTATCCGCCGCCCGACTGGGACGTCCAGCGACTGGGTTGTGCGTTTATGAATGAAATATGGACAAGGTGGAGGAGCTGAGGAAGGCCAAGTTCTGGAAGTTGTTCCGGAGCAAGAGCTCAGCAGACAAGAACGGGAAATATGTAGGGTTTTATGCCAGTCCACTGCGCGGTGATGAGATCACGTCATCATCGGCATTATAAAAACAGAACCACTTTACTAACGGCCATCTCAAGGACACCGACCCGCCAAGGAGGGTGAGCGAGGGTAACATTCCCATCCGCAGCAGCAGCAGCAGACGGCCCGACGATGAACTGGGCGAACCACCAGTCCGCCGTCGGCGACCTCGACGGACCGACCCCAACGCCACCAAGGGCAAAGGCCGTGAGGACCACCACGATGGGCCCTACGACGTCGGCCCGCTGACCGAGTGGCCGCCGTCGGGCATGTCGAGCAGCGAGGAGCTGAACCTCGGCCCGGCGATGCAACTCATCTCGAGGGGAGTGCCGGCCTTCAAGGGCCACAAGAAGCCCATCCCCCACGCCTCCGATCACTACTACGCCTTGTTCGCGACGGCAGCGGGGAACCGCGGGGACGAGACGGACGCGGCGAACCAGCACGACTCGATGACCCAGCTGATGACACTGCGCCTGGCCGAATCCGGGCCGGCCACCTACCCGTGGGAAACGCTCGAGCAGCCGAGCAACGCGTTCTGCTTTGGCAAGCGCCCGGGCACCATCACTCTGAACCACTGGGTAGCGCAGGCGAGTGTGTTGCCGACGGCGATTCCGCTTCGCGACACGGGGGTATCACCGCGCGAGATCGACCTCGAGACGATATTCGGGCGGTTGAAGGAGCTGGACAGGGGGCTGGAGGACGAAGACGACGACTACATGTACCGGAACCTGTACAAGCGGCTGCTCAAGGACCCGGACAAGTACGTGAGCCCGCACAAGACGCTGGACCGGCAGATCACGGACCTGATTATGGTGCTTTCGGCGCCGCACTGGCTGGACTTCACGGTGGCCAAGAACCAGGTGGTGACCAAGTTCATCTTCGACACGAGCGCGGCCAACAGCAGCGTGTACCACAAGTTCTGCCACCAGCTACTGCTAAGCCTGGAGCTGGAGCTGCGGATCCAGTCGCGCCACCACATGACGGACGCGAAGGAGAAGCTACTAACCCAAATTCCGCCGACGATCCAGTGGAACCTGGCGCTGGCACGGCGATGGCGCGACAACGTGCGGGTGGACGAGTACGGCGAGGGACCGGACACGATCCAGCTGCGGTACAAGCTCAAGCGGCGGCAGGTCAAGATGCTCAAGCGGTTCGCGCAGATGATGAAGTGGCCCAACCTCAACGAGACACTAGCCAGCCTCAAACGCCGCGACGCCGACGCGACCCTCGACCTAGTATCCTCGCACGCCATGGCCTTCTTCAGCGGCCTCGTCCTCCCCGGCCCAACCTTCCCGTTCCTCATCATGAACTCCCTCATCGACATCGACCCAGACCGCGCCACCGACGACCTAACCCTCCTCACGCACGCCCACCCCAACTGCGGCTTCCAATACCGCAACAGCTACACCTACTGGACGGCCACCTCCATCGTCGGCAAAGTCCTCGCGCCCACCTGCCGCTCCCTCGCCGGCTGGGTCGGTCCCGCCCGTCCCACCGGCGACCTCGCCCGCAACCAAATCGCCCGCGTCCGCGCCCGCCGCCCACCTTCCAACCGCGTCACCCCCGAAGACATCCGCACCATGTCCGAACGCTCCGACCCCCTCGGCCCCCCAACCCAAGTCTTCCCCGTCAAAGAATACGCCCTCGTCGCGCCCGACCGTGACGACGACGCCTACCTAACCGACCTCGTCCGCATCGAACTCCTCAACCTCCGCCCCTGCGGCACGGCTATCGGTCCCAACGGCATCGACTCCCGCCCTTCCTCCGCGCCCTCCACGCCCGCCCCTGCGGGGGCCGCCGGCGTGCCCAAGTACTACGACGCGTCGGTACAATTCGCTATCGACGGCGTGTCCTGGCCGCTGCGGTTGGCCTATGACGTGTCGTTTGTGTCTGCCTGGCCGTGCTCGGACGGGCCGCACCCGCTGTTTTTCGATTATGTCTATACCCCTGTCAAAGCGGACCAGTTGGTTAAAGTGAGGGATTGGAATGGAATTTATGGTGGTGGTGCTTCTGCTGCTGCGGCATCGGATACCCGTTCCCCCCCGGGAACCGCCAACGCGAACGCAGCAAATGCAGGGCCGGGGACCTTTGGCTTCGTTAGTCGGCCTGGTACAGCCGGCGGCGGTGCTGGTGGTATTGGTGGAGGTGGAGGTATTGGCGGTTTGGGGAAGACGGGGGTATCAAGCCCGAGTACGTTGAGTGGGGGGGATGAGGAGAGGGTGTTGGTGGTGGAAGCGTTTGGGGTGCCGGATAATGAGGTGTTGGCTAGGGCGTGGTGTGCGCATTGGGGGTTGAGTGCGGTGGTGGCTGATTTGGGGAGGACTTGGTATGTTTTTTTTTTCTTTCTTCTCCCCCGTTCTCTCTTTCCCTCTTTTGCTCCCTCCTTTTGCCCTGTCGCTCTTTTCTCTCTCTCCTTTTGCTCTATCTCTTTGACTTTTGCTCGCTCTCGTGGGGATGGACATGGGGATACTAGGGTATAGGGTTAGGTTGCTGACAAGGTTTTAGCATGGCGTGTGCGATTCGCGAGGCGTATGCTACTACGATGACGGTGGTCATTTTGGTGGATGATGAGCAGGATCGGAGGGAGGATTGAGGGATGGTATCTGGACTGAAGTATTTGGACGGGGGCGTCTACCAGCTGAGCCGGGGGGTTGTGGCTTGGTATGACTTGAAGCTTGATATGGCCTGATATGGCATCGATGCGAAGAGGGTAGTTGAAAGAAGGATGGTGCATAGCGTGGATATGTTGCTGGTATTATTTTCAGGTGTTGCTTTGGTTTCTTTCTTTCTTTTATTTGCTGGTTCCTAGCATGACATTGGTGATATTCAGACAGGAGTGAAAGAACGGGGAAAGCACCAGGTCAAAGCACGGCTGGCCGGACCGACGACTCGCTGGCTGATGGGAGATGGGAGATGGAAGATATGGGAAAGTGGAAAGTGAGGGTGCTGGCTGGCGATGGTTTATTGGTAATACCCAGGTTGTCGTGTATTTTATTTCGTTTAGATCTGTAAGGCAATTACTTTTATTCAAGGTTGCGTTGTTTTGCAGTGGTTGATACAAGTGTGGTATTGTGAGAGGGTTTATCGCGATAGTCTCTGAAGGCTGGGATTATTATACGTTTTTGGTACTCCCCCTTTTCAGCCTTTTTCGAAGTTATTTGGAGCTCCTTCAAAGCTTCGTCAACCTTTTCCCCCAAAACGAGTGTGTGGTTGCTAGAGGAGAGGAACAGAGCAATGTAGAACGAATGGCTTGGTATCATTTCCGTCTTTCTACCTCATTCACCGCTGGCTGACTATTATTTCCTAAACTTGACCACCTTCTACGCTACCTTCACCCAACTCCATCTTTGACTTCCGTCTTCCCCTTCCCCTTTCCTTCTTACCTGTCCTCTTCACCTTTCCCTCTTCCTCCTTCCGGTTCACCTTATTCCATCTTCCCTGTCCCGTATCCAACATCAGCACCTACACAGAAGCCTCACCCCCATTCACCGGCCCTCCAGTCTCCTTTTCCAAAATCCCAGTCTGCTGCTGCTGCTGCGGCGTCGACGCAAACCCCAAAGCCTTATCATCCCACTTCCCCGCCAACCCAACCACCGCAAACCCAACCCCAACAATCAACAACAAATCCAAAATCCCAAACCAAATAAACCCCGGCGTCACACCCAGATAGTTCCCGCCATCCGTCAAACCCCACGCCAGCGGGTACAGCACCCACAGGAAATTCACCGCGCCCGCTAGGGCCAGATACTCCCCGCGACGTACCCCGCCGCTAGTGTTTCCAGGAGCAGGAGAAGGGAAAAGCGTCCCCCAAGCCAAAACCCCCTCCGCCACAAGCCCAAACCCAAAAAAACCCCACTTATACAAACTCCCCGTAAACCCCGCCACCAACAAACTCAACACCCACACCCACGCCAGCACGACCTGATACCCCACGGTGCTCCACGGAACCCTGCCCACCAGCCCCAGCAGGGCGGTAATTGTCGGGAAAGCGACGGACCAGAGGATGTATTTGGCCCAGAAGATTTGACGGGTGGGTCCCACGCTGTGGGAGAGGGCGGTGGATTGGACGATCGGGGACCAGGCGAGGTCGGAGGCGGAGGCGTAGTAGGTTAGGAGGGCGGTGAAGAGGGTGGGGGTGAGGAGGTGGTGGATGTGGCGTTTGCTTGAGGTAGAGAGGGCCGTTAGGGTTAGGTTGATAAGCTGATATGTCTAGTATTAGCTGGGTGTACTGAGGGAGTAAGGAGGGAAGGGGGGGGGGACAAGAGGGGCACGTACAAGAGCAACACCAAAGATGGCGGTCACGGCAAAGAGCCAGGAGGAGCCTTGGGTTGAGAGCTGCTCGCTGGCTCCCGGGGGATTGGTGTAGAGCGCGTTGTTGCGGGGGAAGACGGCCATGGTGTCTGTCTTCTTGATAAGCGTTGACTCTTGATGACCGTAGGAGCTTGAGACTGGTGATGTGCAGACTGGACAGTGACAGTGACGGCGACGGCGGCTGAGAAGGGAGAACCAAGGGTCTTTATACTTGTGTCACAGAGGTAGACCACACCTTTTTAGCACATCATGAGCACGCATATCGGCCAAGAACGGGAACAGACAAGCGGCCGGCTCTCACTCAGGCACGAAACACCATCCGGGCAACTCCGACAGCTCCGGATCGCAACCTGAAGGGATACCGTGTGTCATCCTCCCGACATACTGCTTCTGCCTGACCAAACATAGGGCGTGAAAGTCATCCCATGTTCTCCCCATCGGCACTTAGCCCTATCCTGCTCATCGGCACTTGGAACATCATGCAATGCACCCTACCATCTATTCCGAACCTCCTTCGGATAGCCGTTGACGGGATAGCACTCGCTTCGGCAGCCTCGGATGTTATGAACCTATGGAAGCGTCCCGTGGCTTGCAACAATTTTCTCTTCTGCTTGATATAGTGTCTGACAAACCGGTGCGGCATGGCGAGAGAGGCATGTCGCAAACACCGAAAGGGCGTCGGCGTTCTCGGCTTTTGGCCGTATGCGACTTACACTATGTCGAGACCGCTAACTATTGGTTCTCGGCCTCTTGACATGCAGTTAACGCTACGCGAAGGAGAAAGAGAGAGACAGACGCTCCAAGACCGGAATACCCTCGCGACCCGAGGCCGGCAGCCAATAGCCAAACAAAGTAGAACCACGACCAAATATGTGGCGTGGTTGACGTGAGTAACACATGACGGCAACGATTTCTCCATCTAGCCTCGCTTGAGAAAGCAAACAGTAAAGAAACGAAAAGAACCCGCGGATCAACCGGAAGTGTCGGGTTGGGCGACAAATTGTGGAGAGCATGTGACGGTAATGGTGATAATGTGAACCGATGGCGATGAATAATGTTTGGGGTCTAAAGGGAAGAAAAAGGGTCCAATGCAGGTTTTCTGCAGTGACGACGGGATGGTGTTGGGCGGAAATGGCGGGATAGCGGGATGATCGGGAGCCCACTTACATTGTACTTACACATGTGTCTTGACTAGGCGAGACTGTGGTTCTCCAAAATATTCCTTCCATTTTATACATGACTTTTACTTATTTTTATTTTTATTTTATTTTAATTTTTTTTTAAAAAGGAATGAACACAAAAAAGAACAAAAAAGTCCAGAGCCAGAGGAAATTGTCCCAAGGAGCCGCAGCATCATCCACGGTCCCATCGGATTCCTCGGCAGTCAAGTACTAGTGCAGTGTAAGCATCAACCGCATGCCGGCACTTACACAACCCCAACCCATCATCACGTCTTTCCCCCCTCCCTTAGCCCCCACTCCCCACACACCTCTGCAGGTCTCACATCACATCACATCATGTCAAAGAATCCCTCCCGTCGATCCCTCTTGTGTCCGGGTCTCGAAGAAACAAAACCTTAACCCGGGATGTCTACTGCACTGCATCTACATGCAGATTCCGGATGAGGTATCGTGAACGGTCATGCCACCCTCAGCTGTGCATGAATCACTTCTGCAATACCAACCGAAGAGCACGAACCCCCCTTCCCCCCCAAACAAGCCCAATCATCGATGAACGAACAAACTCGAAATCAACCAACCAACCCTTGATGCTGAATCGGGGCTCGTGACTCTTGCCGGCGTCTCCTTTCGTATAGTTATCCCTCGCTAGCCGGGTCTACCCACCCGTCAACCCAGCTGTCGACGGGCCAGGGTTGGATCACTGTGCTGGTGAACATGTATTCTCATAACCCTCGCTTTCACTACACTTATAGAATCAACAGGTTCTCATCCACATTATTCCTCTTAGTGCAAACACCACGATCAAACCAGCATAACTGAGACCGACCTCAATAACGGAGACCGACCTCAATAACGGAGACCGACCTCAATAACAGAGACCGACCTCAATAACGGAGACCGACCTCAATAACGGAGACCGACCTCAGAACAAGTAGACGAATTTTTTTGGCATCCGCTAAATCCATTTGGTTGCCAATCTACTGACGAAAAACATGATACCCGCTACCCGCTTCTTCTTCATATGCCGTCTTCCTATGCTTTCTCCTATGCACTCGCTGCTATGCACGCCTGACGAACACATCGTCTCCCATGTACACTGTTCTCCCTAGTATTCATCCCTCGACCCTTGGCCCGTGACCCGTAACCCATATTCCTGTCCTGTCCTGTCCTGTGACATCCCATGCATCCAAAATCTCATGCCCATAACTTTGTATCATAACATATCTCCGCTCCGTAAGCGCCTGTGCAAACAGCGGCAAACCAAACGAATAATGAAAACCCCCAATCCCATTCGCCCACCACCCACCTACAACACGCACTTACGGCTATGCCGTAGGCGCTTTCATCTGCGCCAGCGCCAACTTCGCCCGTTCCCTGACCCCCAAATCCTCATCCCCGACCAACGCCTCCAGTTTCGGCACAAACCCCAGTCGTTCCAGCACTTGTGCCCTTCTCGGTTGGGTTCCGGGCGCACTTGTATTGGCATTTGCACTTCCGCCGGCACCATTCCCACCACTTCCACTCCCATTACCGGCCGACCCAGACCCAGACCCGGGCCCGGAAGCAGAACCGGAGCCTGTCCCGGTCCCCAATCCTAGGCCAGACCCCAACCCTAACCCCGAACCGGTCCCGGACCCCGAACTAGCCCCTGAACTAGCCCCCGAGGCAGCTCCCGAAGTAGCCCCCGGACCAGCACCCAAATCCCCCTCATCCTCCGCCCAACACAAACTCGCCGCCAACTGACACACCATCGTCCTCACCCCCGCACTCGGACTACTCATATGCCCATGCAACAACCTTAGCAACTCAGTCTGCGAAATAATCAGCTGCCGATGCCGCGGCTGGCCGGCGGCAATATTGACTAGGAATGTGACTAGGTTCTCGACGATGCGGGGTTGGGGGTAGAGGACTATTGCGTCGCGGTTCGCGGTCGCGGTGGAGGAGGAAGGGTTGTGGGTGCCGGCTGGGGATTTGCCGTTGCCGTTGTTGTTGTTGCTGTTGTGGCCGTTACTACTCCCACTCCCCGAGGCAGACGCAGACGCCGACCGGGACGCAGACCGTCTTGTCGCCCCACCAACAACGCGCATCTTCAATTTCTCAGCCAGCAGCGAAAACAACCGGTCCTGGCCCAACTCGGTGAGGACATAGTCGACCATATCGGTTTGGGACCAAGAGTCCGTGGCCACGACCAGGTTGCGGAGGAACCCCAGGGCCTGCTCCTGGATCGCCACGCTATCGGCGCGTGCCAGGCGCGTCGGGTTGAGCTCTGCGTTGCGTAGCGCCGTGAGCGTCTCGAGTGCTTGTTGGATGCGCGGGGCTGAGCTCCATGCTGAGGGCCGTCGGAGCGGGGCCCAGATCCAAGGGCTGTTGGGGTTGTCGGTGCCGTTGTTGTGGCTGTTGTTGTTACTGTCGTTACCGTTGCCATTGGCGTTGTCATGGTCATTGTCATTATCATCATCGTCGTAAAACCCCTCCATGTCCTCATCGTCATCGGCATCGCGAGCCCGCCGCCGTCCGGCCTGCGACGGAGCTCTAGCGCGCAGGAGGGCCTCTTCCTCGGCGGTGTCGTCACTAATCAGCTGGAGGAGCCAGCCCGGCTCGAGCTCTTCGAGGCAGAATTTCTTCAACTCGTGGTCGGGGTCCATGACGAGATGCTTGAGAGCCCAGAGCGCGTTGAGTCGCAAGCCGGGGTTGAGCGAGTGCGCATGCTCACATAGGATCCGAATGATGCCAAGGTCGACTAGGTGCTGCCTCTCGTTAGACCCTATCCACACTCGCACTCACACTCACAACTAGATTATGATAGAAAAAAAAGTGAACTTACCGTCACCATAGGACTGCAGTTAGTCAGCAGGTTAATAACCGCTCCCGAAGCCGCAATCTTGACCTCCATATCGGAATGCCGCAGCAACTTGAGGATAGGCTGGGCGACGCCATGGTCTTGTAGCGTAGTACGCACAATCTTAGGCGACCGCGCCAACGCTCGGATCGCATGGCACGCCGCGATAAGGATCGGCTTAGTGTTGTACCCGTACACCGACGGCCCCCCAGAGTCTGCTCCGTCCTCGGCCGCATTTACACACCCCGGCTGCTCCTTGGGTCCCTTTGGCTTCCCGGGCCGCGGGCAAAGTGATTCCACCAGATAAGGCGTGACCCTGTCCATGACCAATTCCTCCCTGTAGTCGTTGCTGAGCGTAGCCATAGCAGCCGCAAGCTTGAGAGCGCTTTCCCGTATCCTTATTCGGTGGACGTACGCCGGTACCTGACCAGGCGAGCCGACCCGGCAACTAGCCGGGACGCGTCTGTCTCCGGCTTTGCTACCGTGGCTGGGAGTGGATGACCACGTCGGCGGCGGGTGAGGGCTTTCCAGGGGCTCGTACGACGACTTGAGGCTGGTGTATACCTCCTGCATCACGCCACAGTCGAAGACGACCCGCTGCAGCACCTCGCTCTCCCCAACAAGTCGGGCTAGCACATCGAGTGTCCGGTGTTGAATGTACAGATCGTGAGCGATATCGTCGCTAATAATCGTCGACCGCTGCGCGCCCTTCGGGATTTCCTTGGGGTAGTATTCCAAGAGGTCCCAGAGGATCGGAATAACAAGCACGCCCATCATATGTTCCCGTTCCGGGCCCGCAAACCCGGCCTTGAACAGCGAGGCGAGGAGGGACGCAGCCCCGATCTTCTCCATCGCCGAGCCGGATCGAATGATGTGGATAAGCCATGGAATTAGGGGGCTTTCCGGCTCTTCGGTGGTCTCGTCCTCCGCGGAACCTTCTGAGCTGCCCAAGCTTAGTCCGGTAAACTTATACGTCGGGAGTCGGCCGGTGGCAGCAGCAGCGAGGTTATCGCGCGACTTGGAGAAGCCCAATGGGGGGTAATCTCGGAAACTCCGGGCTTGGATCTTGGACTGGGGGAGCAGCACCGTCGGCAGCAAGTAGTCCATGGGCCCCCGGTCTCGCGAATCCGTATCAACAAGGCCGCTCGTAACGAGTGCTAGCCACGCTTCGCTCACCCCCGCCGGCGGTATGGGCGGCGCAAGTCCATTGTGCGGGAAGACGGCTATGAGGGCCGGCGAGTAGAGTAGTAGGCACGCACGGAAGCGTGAGTTGGCCACAACGGCCGACAGCGCCTCCAGAACCGAAGACAGGTCGGCATGTCCGTCTGCGGGCGGTGGGATCAGCTCGGCCAAACCGTCGCTTTGCCCACTCCACAACGCCCCTGGGATAACCTCTCCTCTGGCGACCACAAAGCTGGCTAGTACGGTGGCGAGCGCATCTAGGACGCCCGAGTCCGCCAGAGCGGTCTGGTGAGCTGGTGTCTTGCACAACCAGCTGATCATGTCGCCTACCACCTCTTTCTGCTCCCGTACTACGACATTTCCCCGTGTTGTTTGCGAAAGGATATCACACAGCGCCGTAAGTGGGCTAGGGGAAAACAAGGCGTCAGCAATATATGTTGTGTCGTCGCCACCTCGGGGTGCAATTCGTGTGGCTTCGCCGAAGGAGCTCAAGGTTCGCAGGGCCGACAACACCACGGGGGGACTGTTTATCGAAGGGGACAGGAACGGAATGAGCGCGGATAATATGTCGACAGCTTTTAGGGCTCCGAGAAACTGGGTGCCATCTGTGTCTAGTTAGCAACCACGTCATTGAGCCACATCCTGGTGTCCCATCCCGCGGTCCACTGACTGTATGTGAAGCTCGCAAGTAGCTGTAGCGACAGCAGTCGCACGGTTTCTTCCTCTCCAAGTCCCGTAGCTGGATCTACCTCGACCTGCGGCCCCCCACTGGGCCGTTTTTGCAATGGAGCATTATCAGCGAGGGTCTTGACGAGCGGCTCCAGAATCCCATCCCGAACCCATTGCTCTTTGCGCTGGGAGTGCCCGACAATGTCATCCCGGAGCGCGCGTAACGCCGTTGCTTGTTCTGCGGGGGTCTTGGCTGCTCGGATTTGTGCAAGAATTGGCGGAGCCTGGACTCTCGCCATGGTGTGTGTTTGTTCTCAGGTTGAAGTGTGCCCTTTTAACGACAGAGGGGATCGTTGGGCGAGAGGCTGATCGTTGCGTGGAAGCGGAAAATGAGAGTATTGCGGGGAGATTGACGTGCTTCCTAGGAGGGTCACAGATCGTAATGTTGAAGCTAAAAAATAGTTTATCGTCAATCGTGGCGGGGCTAAGTCGTGATGCGTTGATCCGTTGGTCAAAGAGTGGCTGTGAGGGTTGAGTTTTCGACGGAACGCCACTGCGGCTGGTAATTTTGCAGAACAATCGCTTTGTTGATTTGCGGCAGGGATTCTCGGTCGGAAGGTAATGAAGCTCGGATTCGGTAGGATATACGTGCGATATCGGCTTGCAGCGCGGATTCGTCGCTGTTGTCGTCGCCGTTAGGATGTTGCTCGGTTGATGCCGGCGCTGAGGATGATGGACGCGCGACACTAGGACCAATGACCGTTGAGGTGGATGGCGAGCCGGCCCCACTGCAGCTACACGACACGGCATGGGCCACCGAGGGTGGTGGTGCCTGCCGAGATGAATGGCTGCCTGCCCAATGAGGCAACGCAGTACACTAACACAAGCCCAGGATCGAAGCTTCTTTCCAACTGTAGTGTAACTGTATTACGAAGTACAGTTCCTCGTCCTCCTCGCCCTCGTTGCGTGGGAATGAACGGACCACATCGCACCACGATGCAATTCACGGCACTCATACTCGGTAACAAGGAAGATGCTCCCGGTGAAAAGGCCATCAAAATGAAATCGAAGCCAAATCTAGGCTTTGGTGCTCGCACGTGGGCACTCGACAAGCTGCCATCCATGTCGGCCACGACCGAGACAGGCCCATATTCCCCGTCTCTCGATCGGTGTCAACGTCTTCCTTTGCCGTTTCGAGAGACCGACCAGCCGTCAACAAAACCTTCCCGCCAGCGCTTTGACATGGCCACCGCCTAAACAACGCCTGCTGATTGCGCCAAGCCCTAGCAAATCGCGAGGCTCTGAACCAAACAGCCGCAACGTTTCTTCTGCTCCCCTGTTGACATTGTCTTCGTGGGCGGCTCGCCGCGCTCGGAGCGGCCACATGGTGTCCGTTGACGACCGACGGGTGGCTATCGACCCGGCTCGCTGCAGACCACTCACGTTAAGGTTAATGGATTTTCCTGCAATGCCGTGGACCGTAATGCCGCTGTCACGTTTTCTGCCAAGCCCCGCCACCAATCACGACCACGCAACCGTCTTCCCGATACACCCTCATGGCCCCATGCCTCCCAGTGACTCGGTGTCGCTTGAATGCAAACGTGATCCGGCCCACCGGCTTTGCATGCTCTCATCGCTGAAGGGCAAATTTGGCTGACCGGACTCAGCAAAGGCGTGTCCTACCACACCCTTTTTGTTAGCCCTGCAGCCCCGGCCATATCAGTTACGACCCGAGTGTATAAAGAGGGACGCCGTGCTGCTCCCAAGCGGTTGGCAGTGTTTTGTCCGTACTGTTTAACCCCGACGTTGCAGCGCAATAAGCTCGCTTGTGGAACACTACGATCTGCGACACCACAACGCCCACGCCCACGAGCCCGGAAATAAAGATCACAGACAACCTCCATTAACCGGGGTGTCGTAGATTCCGGAATAGGAAATCCGATTCGCTGCCTACACTGTCTCCATCGGCCTGTGCGTTCCAACAGAGCGCCCCACGGCCTGGTATTGCGTACTGCACGAAGTGTCCCTAGGTACGACGCAGTATCTATCCCACCAGACCTGAGATTAAATCTACCTGAAGGTATCTCAAACATCGCTGCTTCTCGTAACAACTCCCAAGAACAACGGCGAAACCACTCCAACTCGACGGGAGAACTTTTTGCAGGCGCATTGAGGTTAGTCCGCGCTACCTAGTTCCGGACACCGAGCAAGCAAACCGGTGTGTGCGACCTCGCTCCTTGCACAGTCAGGCCCTTCCCTGGCTCTGTGGGGAACTGGACTGCCCTGGACTTCACTGAACTTCGACCTGGATTGATTGCAGTGGGTCAGTGTCTCTGCCCCACTATCCACCCAGGCTGGGCTTTTGCCGCACAAGACTTCTCTTCGCCGACTTCTCGCTTCCGGTGTTTGCTCCGCGTTCCCCTCCAAAAGGGATATTCTTGGGGTTTGGGATGATGTTGGCGCGGTCTCCCGTTCCCTCCTCCAGCCCAGCCAATGCATCACCGCGGAACACCTTTCAGGTCTTCCATCACTATGCTCCTGCGCCCTCGCCGCGATATCCTTCTCCTCGGCTCCCGGCCGTTGCCCAGTCTCGCCGGCCGTCGACCGACTTCCCCGCCGCAGCGCCCGCAAGAGCATCACCAACGCAGCCGAAGCGATATGTAGCCGTCGACGCCGCCACTCAGTACTCGCCAATGGAGCCTATGGATTATGCCACTGGCACATTGCTCCCGCGAGTACCACCGACAACAACAGCAACAGCAGCAACAACACCAACAACATCGACGACAATCACCACCCCAATCTCCACCAGCAAACCCGATAATCACACCATAACTACCAAGGCCCGGAGTCCAATGGCCGCCCCAAAAGAGCGGCCCGTCATCGCCGCGCACCCGGGCCCGCGGCCACACAAACCGATTTCTTCCGGGTCGAAGCAGTTTATCGATGCGCCGTCTCTCCCAACTTCTCCATCTAAGCGAAAGAGTTCCCAAGAACCCGCTAGTATAAGCGCCCTCGCCGCCGAGCCGCTCCAAAATAACCCCTCAACCATTGCCAAGCGCGCAAAACCCGATACCGCACCACCAAAGGTCCTGCCACAACGTTACGAGCTCTGCGCGATCGAAGATGTGGTCGTGCTCATTGCGCACATGCTCGGCGAACTTATCGAGACCAATGATACCCTTGCCCTCAAATCGGGGCATCTCACAAGATTTCATTCCCGGTACGGTCCAACTTTTCATACGTCTCTCTTTTCTTCTATTACTTTCCGGTTGTGGGTTCGGTCTAGAAAAAAGGCGACTAACGCTGGATTGTAGAACGGCACCGGGAATTTCAGTGCTGGATTACCTTCACCGCCTCGCTAAACACGCGACTCTCACTCCCCCCCTCCTCCTCTCCATGGTCTACTACATCGACCGACTTTGCGCGCTCTACCCCGATTTCACCATCAACACGCTCACCGTCCACCGATTCCTGATTACCGCCGCTACGGTCGCGGCCAAGGGACTCTCGGACGCCTTTTGGAACAACTCCACATATGCCTGTGTAGGCGGCATTAAGGTCGCCGAGCTCAAGCTACTGGAGCTCGAGTTCCTACACCGGGTCGACTGGAAGATTGTGCCCAACCCAGAAGTGTTGGTGGCTTACTACCAGGGCCTTGTCGAGCGCTGTCCCGGCTATACACTTGAAGCACCCGAAACTAACGAGGGAAGTGGGGAGAGTGATGCCCTCGATGACAGCGACGAGCTGGACGATGACGATACAACTGGAGATGCGCATGGGTCTGCCTCTGAGAATGGGCTCACCCCGAGCGGGCGACCGTCACCAACCGGTGCCTAGCAGATCAAATCAATGAGCATTATAGTAAGAAAGAAAAGGGGTCACGCCCAGTGCCCCAATAATCGGCATTTTCACCACGAGGTTGGGGTATTGTTCGCAAGAGTACTCAAAAAGTAAAAACCCCGGATTTATGTGCCTGAAACCTTGGAACGGACGGGATGGGTAGGACAGGAAGGGGAAATGGGGGGGGCATGGGATGGAGTTTGGTTGGAATTGCTGTTACTAGGACAACATCTCTTGTCGGCTTCGGAATGGGAAAGGCAACCCGACAATGACAGGACTAGGGGCATGTGGGAAGGATAACATGGATATGGGCTGACCGGTAGAAAGAGAAATGGGACACATATGTGTACATAGAGTTAGGTTTGGAGGAGATACCATGAGGATAGTCCCGTAGTTTGAAAGCTTGCAGCGTTGTTACACACTGTTTGGATTCTCGCGGTGATGCTTCGGGGTGAGGATTCCTGTCTTCTTCAGGGTCCGTTGTCAAGACTGATTTTTAAAGTGTGCATTCAACTTGAAGCCCTCCGACTCGCTATACCTCAGGCTGCCAAAACACCGTCTCGCCGCATTTATTCAGGCGGTTTTCCGTTATCTTCGAGACGGGATGTAACTCGATTTTACCGCCCTCGTTCGGTTAAGAGAAGAGTGTGGATTGGTGATGGTGCAACAGAGTCCTGAAACCCCTGTCAATGCTGCGCTGAGTGGGCCAAGCTCCCCAGCTCGCCAAGCGGCCCAGAGCAACCTTGCACTGGAGCTTCTTTGGACCTCGAAAGGTCCGCGTTGGCAATTGCAATCGCAAACTGAACACTCCATCCGCTCACCGTCCTCCCACCGAATCACGACGCAGTCTCTCGATTCCCCCTTGAAGTCGTCAATCCACTCCGTTAGAGAAAGGGACAAACGCGATTCAAAACCAGCAATGCGTCTCACCCTCCTACCCGCCCTCCTCGCGGGCAGCAGCACCCTCGCCCTCGCCGCGACCAGCGACACAACAACACGCACAGCAGCCATCTACATCCAACCCCTCAACGGCAAAACCAACAACAACCACCCACCACCCGCCCCAGCCCTCCTCGCCGAAATTGCCATCCCCGTCCTCTCCCATGATGACACCAACGAACAAGCGAAGCTCGACGCAGCGGCCGCCGTGGCTGGGATAGAGGCGGAGGTGATCTCGTATTCTGCGCCGGATTTGTTTGGGTCGGGGTCGGGGGGTGGAGATGATGATGCGGAGGACGAGGACGCGGCCGAAGGCGAAGCGGAAAGGGGAGACAACGACGCCGAAAAGAACCTCCTAGTCCGCATCGGCCTGTACTCCCCCGCAACCAAAACCTGGGTATCCTCCACGTCCCTAGCATCAGCAGACAACTTTGCCAAGGGCTACGCGCCGCGGTTTTTGGTGACTGTCAGCGGTGGCAGTGAGGAGGAAGGCGGTGGTCAGGTACTGGGTGTGACGTGCCGGGGCGTGGCGATCGATGCGGGCGTGACAAGGGATTTTGGCCCGCAGGCGGTGGTGGTGGCTTCGGCGGCGGGCGCGCAGCCGGCGCTGGGGAAGCCGGTGGTGCTTGGGGAGGGGGGCAGGAAGGTGCCGGAGGCGGGGGAGAAATCGTTTTTGCAGAAGTAAGTTTTTCTCTTTCTTTCTCACTC